GATATGAGATGACTTCTGGGCCCTGCGAGGACTTACCCACCATTTTTGTTCATGGGATGTGAGTATTAGCATGATTCCTCACTGCACTTTCTACCCTGCACTCCACCGCAAACATGCAATGATGTTCATTACCCTCATACATTACTCATTTTCACCTCTATAAAAGCCCCACTGACCCTTGGCCGGGAAGATAGATTTGAGGAAGTCTGTGCCTCCCCCTCAGGGCAGATGTGTCTCCTGCAATAAATCCTTCTTCTATGACAATCCTTGTTGTCTCAGTCATTGGCTTTCTGTTTCGTGAACAACATGACCCCCCACCACCACCATCACCCCCATGCACATGTGACCAGCAGCTGTGACCAGCAGGTCTAGCAGCAGCCCAGCACCTGATCTTCGTTTCTCTGTTCCCCACTACTTATCATAGACAGCATTCTTCAGGCAGAGACAAGTTCTCTATCTCTTTTCTATAAAAATAAGAGGCTGGGCTGGGCACAGTGGCTCACGCCTTTAATCCCAGCACTCTGGGAGGCCTAGGCTGGAGGATCCCTTGAGCCCAGGAGTTCAAGACAAGCCTGAGCAAGACTAGAACCCTCTAAAATACTAGCCAGGTATTATGGTGGGTGCCTGTAATCCCAACTACTTGGGAGGCTGAGGAAAGAGGATCACTTGAGCCCAAGAGTTTGATGTTACTATGATGCTATGGTTCTCTACTGACGGTGACAAAGTGAGACTTTATCTCAAAAAGAAAAAAAAGTAAAGTCTGATCTTATGCTTTCCCAGAGAAGACAACAAAATTGCAAGGATGGTTGTATTTCTAGGGAAATAATACAAAAATTATTAACTCATAGTTTTTCAATAAAGACTAAAATATTTCTGCCTACTTTCTTTCTCTTTCCAAACCCCCACCCCTATGGATTTGTGTTTTCATAAACTATTGAGGAACCCAGCAAGCCAAAAAGAAATATAAATTCTCTTTATACTTCCCTAGCTCCTTTGTCTTTTAGAATTTTTTCCTTTAATCCTCAAATGATTTCAAGAGGAACAATGGAATATGAACAATCAGGCCTTAGAATTGGAAGCACCTGGAAAAATGTCTGCTAGCATTCATATTTACAAGACCTTGAGAATTCAGCTACAGTCCCCCCTCTTAAATTCAGCTACCCACCGGCCCTCAGGGCTGGCATTTTTACTTTCTTTTCTTAGGATGCCACTCTGTTCTCTCTTTCCTTTTCTGTCTCTTCACCCTCTTCTCCCTCTCTCACTCCCTGCTTTCTGCTCCCTTCTTTCTCTTTCTTATTTCTTCCCCCACTCTCTTATTTCTCTTTAATATAAAATAAATGTATGCTTTTATATCCTAATCCTGTCATAGAGAAATTTTATTCTTATTCTGCATGCAGCACCAATGGAACATTTCTAAACACATCAAAATTCTCATTACTGGTTCTCAGGATGGGTTGGTTTAAAATATGCAAGTCTTTTCTTTTCCCTTTAAGAATCCTCCTATTAATGAATTGGATGTACAAAGTTTTTTAGGTAATCACACTTCTATAAAGATAGGACAGCACCACCCTCAAAATCCCAGAGCAACTCAATAATGGTTAACATCTCAATATTTAGTACTATACAGGCATTTCTATGACCGTTTTTGAAGTATAAACTTCAGAACATACTTTAAAAAATACGGAGTGGATACTGAAACTGGTACATCCCCCAGCAGTGTCAGGGACTCTTAGAACAGAATCAGGAAGTATTTTAGACCTAGAAATGACCTACAAGGCCAAGTTGAATTCCTTATTGGCACAAAGAAGTCAAATATTTTTTTTTTATTTACACACAGCTAGTGAGTGTCTTGGGTATTTAGATTCTCAGATCAGTTCTGCTAAGTTGTAAGTTAAGGTCAAGAAAATACCTTAGGGGATAAATGTTTACCTGTTGAATACTACTCGTGGAACTGTGGCTCATTGTCTGTCTTGTGGGCCCCAAGTTTATGTAGCTGTGGGAGGCTATGTGTTTCTACCTTGGACTGAATCCTCACCCATTAATTTTCTCAGAGCTGCCAGCACCTCCTTGTTCTTTAGACTGTAAATGAGAGGGTTGAGCATGGGGGTGAAGATGGTATTAATCACAGAGAGTATTTCATCCTGCTCTGATGTATGAAAGGAGTGAGGGGTCATGTAAATGATCATAGCTGGTCCATAGTAGAGGCTCACTACAGCCAGATGAGAGGAACACGTGGCAAAGGCTTTTCTCCTCCCCTCTGGTGAATTCATGCGGAGGACTGTGAGGAAGATGAGCATGTAGGAAGATACAATAAGCCCTACGGGAAGAAGTACAAACACAATGCAGATAACAGACACCACTGCCTCATATAAGGAGGTGTCCTTGCAAGACAGCTTGAGGACAGCAGGCATCTCACAGAAGAAGTGGTGGATTTCCCTGGAGCCGCAGAAGGGGAAATGCATGGTGTAGATGGTATTGATGACGGAATTTAGGGCACCTCCACCCCAGGACACCAGGGCCATCAGCAGGCAGATTCTAGGGCTCATGATAACTGAATACCTCAGGGGGTTGCAGATGGCCACGTAACGGTCATAAGACATCATGGTCAAAAGAAGACACTCACCACCCCCAAGGGCAAAGAAGAAGAAAATCTGGGTTCCACAGGCAACTTTTGAGATGTCTCTCTTCCCAGAAAAAAAGTTGATGGCCATCTTTGGGACGGTGGTAGAAATTAAGGCCAAATCAATAAGAGAGAGATGGCTGAGCAGTATGTACATGGGGGTGTGAAGGCGGGCATCCGTCCAGATCAAGAGGATCAAGGTGGCATTCCCAGCAACGGCAATAATGTAGACCAGAAGGAAAGTGGTGATAAGGATGCTGATGTATGGCAGCTCCGGGAAAAGCCCCAAGAGAAGGAAGTCAGCTGATGTCTCATTCCCTCTATCCATGTTCTGATCCCTCATACTTGAACTGGAGGGTGTGGACAAAACAATAAAAAATGTGTGATGCTGAGGAGTTGCACTGGTTTTCATTTTTCTTATAACTTTCTCAAAAATACTTTCTTCAAACATCAGTATCAGTACAAAGGATAAAAAGGAAGAAAGATAAAACCATTTTTTGTAACAGCTGGGACTAGAATTTTTATTAGAGAAGCAGCTTTCTATTTTGAGGAAAATTCTTTGGATATTATAGGTGAGGTCCTGAGGCTAGAGGCTGAGAAATGAAAAAGCCACCCAGTTACCATGCAATAGTAACATGGTTTGGGGATGGTGCAAACATGAACAGAACCGAGGACAGGAGACAAAACAATGACTGAATTCTTTGGAAAAAATGGTTGATAAGAAATCTCTAGGAGGAGGAGAATAGCCAAATGTCATTTAAGAACAGGAATGTATATTTTCATGTTAATAATCTGTGTATGTGTTTGCTGGTGTATAATGTAAATATCTTTCATTAACCTTGAACTGTGAAGAGTCTGTAGCCTTCTGTTGGGTGCCCCTGTGAAGTGAGTGAGCCAGGCGGGGGCAGGATCTAGAATTAATTGTGAGGTGCAGAAGGGACAGCATATGGGAATGGCAACATGAACCCTTCAGTGAATATCATCACCAGAAGTTGCAATTCAGAGCTGGAGATAGTAAGCTTCCCCCCCAAACTATCATTCCTGAGGAGTCTAGCGTTTCTTCTGCATGTGGCATACATTTGAGTCAGTTTTATTCAAATTTGAAAGGTCATGATGATCCATGATGGCAACTTCCCTGCACAGGACACAGCACTGGTTACAATCACAGAGCTGGAATGTAAGGTGAAATGCAATGCTTAACTTTTGGCCTCCTTTTCCAAACCCAAAATAGTGACATAGGATGTGAGAGAAGCTGGTCTCTTAAATCCTTTGTTCTCTCTGTCTGACGCCCATAGGATAACCCCTTAATCCCACTGCCACTTTCATGTGACTTCTCCCAGGGCAGCCTCACTCCTCTGCTCCTCTGGGCTTTAGGGCTGGATGAGACAGTTCTCCCACTGGAGAGGGAGCTAGTGAGGTGATTCTTTTGAAGTTATCGTCCATTTTTAAAGTACACAAGAGGCTGATGTGGGAAGAGCTTTCAGAAGTTTTCTAGAGAGAATTCTTTTTAACAGACTGGGTTCATTTTTTCTTAAAAGCATTCTCAGGTTCACAGAAAAATCAAGAGGAAGGGACAGGGATTTCCACATACCCTGCCCCACACCTGCATAACTCCTCTCCAGCATCTCCACCAGAGAGACACATTTGTTGCAAGTGCACCTATTTGACTAGCTTTTATGACCCAGAGATCTTAGTTTATATATCGAAGTTCACTCTTTATAGAATTTCTTAAGATTAAAAAATTAGTTTTGACCTTAAATACTGACTGATGTAGGAATGGCTTTTTTTTTTTTTTTGGTGAATGGGTGGTCTGGAAGAACTGAGTGAGGTACTGGCGTTCTCTGTCAGCACAGTCTGCGTCGGGACCGCAGGGAAACTTGCTTCCCTAGATAATGGGCATTTACTGTCATTTGTCCAGGCCCCTGCTCTCCCTCCCTAGCACGAGAGAGCCTGATTATTTTATTCATGTTTTTATCTCAGTGCTAAGACACAGTGACTGGCAAAAAGGACTATCTGACTACTCAATACTGTAAAAGGAAAAAAGAGAGGAGGAGAGGAGGAAGGGAACAAACCTGTTAGGGCCAGTCTTACCTTGAAATTCCACTGATATTATTTTAATCACTCACGTACATAAGTGAAAAGTGTGGTGTTACCTTCTTGGGTCTGGTTAGAAGTAGAGGGCCATCTATGGGAGAAAATAATCTTGATTTTCTTAGAAAAACTTATTGGTTTTAAAGCTTGGGTGGATCAGGCCCTGCACCAGAAGTGACACTTGAACAGGGTTTGTTATCTAACCCTTACCAAAGACTGATTTCACTTGAACTTGGATGGTGTAAGTTTCGTTCTCCCCTGTTTTCTTCTTGAACTGGGTGATGCCAGAATGATACTGCTTTTTCACCCAAACTTGAAAGCAATTAAATAGAAATTATTAATTAAGGAAGAAAAAATAAATTAAAAAATAATTTTGAAATTTTAAATAAATTTCTGGAGTGGTACAAATGCTAGCCTACATAAAGACAATACATAGTGAAAGTCGAAATTAGTGATAATTACGTCTTCTTTTCCTTTTTATTTTGAGACAGCGTCTTGCTACAGTCTGGCTACAGTGTCCTTGGTGTTATAGCTCATAGCAACCTCAAACTCCTGGGCTAGATAATCCTCCGGCTTCAGCCTCCTGAGTAACTGGGACTGTAAGCTCCTGCCTTGTTGCCTGGCTAATTTTTCTATTTTTAGTAGAGATGGGGTTTTGCGCTTGCTTAGGCTGGTCTTCCATTCCTGATCTCAATCAATCCACCTGTCTTGACCTCTCAGAGTGCTGGAGTTAGGTGTGAGCCACCATGCCTGGCCAATAATTACTTCTTTTGTGCTAAGAGGAGGTCACTGTTTTAAGTACTTGGTAGTTACTAATTATTTGCCAGTTACTCTCACAAACACTGTACTACATTTATTTTGCAGGTAAGGGACCTCAATAAAGATGTCCTTTCAATGCCTACAAACAAATGAGTAGCAAATGCAGAGCCTGGGTTTGAAGCCAGTGGTCTAACTAAGTTTGTGTGTTGTCTCTTACCTATGGATGACCATCCTGTCCCCTCCTGTCTTTGCACATCCTGACTTCTCCCCACCATGCACACCACCCACTAGCTCCCACTACATTGGGGTCACCCACCCCCACAAACCTGGTCCCATCTTCACCTTGAATGAGAGCCTCATCAGGAATGGAACAATCTGGAATAATGTTCAAGGAGGGAGGTGAGTCAAGTGGGGAAAGATGTCACTTGGTAGCCTTTTCTCTCTGTCACACTCAATGCCTCTCCCAGTCAGGCCCTGCCCTTCCCAGCAAGGCCTCTACCCCATTTTATCTCTGCACTGCCTCCAGGTACCAGTGTCCTTGGTTAGAGTAGATACCTGGAATTCCCTAATTATAGATTTCAGGGCCCGTGGAAATGAAACTCTCAGTAAACTGAAAACTGGCCTGGAAGTGAGTTTCGCTTCACTGCCGACGAGGATCAGAATATTAGTCCCAGTAAAACAATCAGTTTGTAATCCTGCTCATGCCAAGTCAGAAAATGTAACTCACCTGAGGGAATCAGGCCTATTCCTTGTGGGAAACGCAGTCAGGTGACTGATTTAATATGCCCAGAAGGAAGCACAGCCTGACCAGGGATGCTGTGCAGTAATTGGGCTGTGACTTTCCAGAAAATGAAGAATAAATACCAGACTGTGCCTCAGGCAGGGGACTGCCTGATGACATCCATGCCTGTAGCTGTGTAACCACTCCCAGGGTAGGGGGGTCCCCCCCAACCTTTATCCTTTGGGAATTCTGCCCCCAGACATTAATTAGCTCTGTCTTCTGATAGCTGCTTGAATTTCTTCCAGATTCCACAGTAATTGTCTTCTCAAGTAGAAGAAACTTTGGAGAGCCCTGGATAAGCACCTCAGAGTTGTACCCAAGGACACAGAGATCAGAAATGCACCATGGCCATGCTGGTTAGGAGTGCCATGCTTCCAGGCTCTGTGTCCTCTGCACAGCCTCTGTCTCCCTGTAAACATGGACAGAGGTTCTTTTTACGTTCTTCCCTTTGGCATAAAGCAGTGTGGGACCACCTGCCCTCCAGGACCCCCAGATCCCCACCCCATTAAGACCTTCCCAGAGCAAAGAAAGATGAAGTCGTAGACTATGCACAGAGGAGGTGGGAGACTATGTGCACAGTTTCAAGCAGCTGCCCAACCGAAAAGGGTTCATTTGCCTGTCACTGCAGCCAGACAGAGAGACTGAGAGGGTCTGAGCAAACCGTGATGGCAGAAAAGCCAAATCTGGAGAATAGTGAGAATGGGCTCTCAACTCTATCCTGCCTTGGTTACAAACAGCCATTGTTACAGAAAGTTACAAAGAGAAGGCATCTTGGGAATTACAACTTAATCTAGGACTTAACCTATAGCAACCTCAAAGTAATCTTTACAATGGGACACCATCTCTTCCTCTTGGTGGTATCACTCCCTACGATTGTTTGCTCGGATTCCTTAAGATATGCATCTTTATGGCCTGGGCCTGGAGGTCGATGAAATCAAAGAAAAAGAATACTGCTTAAGCAAAGTGGTGGTGGTGGGGTCACACAATCTTTTAATTTTAACTACTCCTGCTTTAGCCTAATGACTCCATCTTATTCTCACTTAATGCTCTCTCAAAGCCTGGGGAAATTTCACTTGTTAACTTAAAACTTTCTTTGCAGAGAGATCACAAGACTTCTGAGTGTTAGGGTGGAAATCTCAGTAGGTCCCTCATGTGGGCTGAGAAAAGAATAAAGTATAGACTTTATTTTATATTCTTAGGAGGAGAGGAGAGGAGAGAAAGAGAAGAGAGCAGGGACATTGGGTGGCCAAAGAAAGAAAGGAAGAATGTCCCCTGAGGTCCCTCAGGGTTTGGCAAGTTGGCAGAGATGGGAAGTTTTGACAATCGATTCCCCATTGTGATTATAGCCTTAGGTGAAGAGAGAGTTCTTTATTTGACAGGGTTGGTATGGATCCCCTTAGTCCGTGGCAGGTGTGGCCATTGAAATTCAGCTGACCCTCCACAACAGAGCAGCCTGTGGTGTTGGGGGACCCTGTGGTCAGTCCTGGAGACATGACCAGTCTGGGGCTCAAAGGGCACTGCAGTGGTGTGGGACGACTCGCACGCTACTGAGTCTTCATTCTAGTTTACAAGTCTCAGGCCTCTGGCAGGTGGGAAGTCATACCTGTTCCAGAAGGTAGATGTGGGTAAGCAGTAAAGGCAGGACAGCTGATTGTTTATGTTTCAAGGATTGAGGTTAGGAGGCTAATGAAACAGTT